AGAGAGAGAGAGAGAGAGAGAGAGAGAGAGAGAGAGAGAGAGAGAGAGAGAGAGACGGATTCAAAACAAAAGGAAACGTGGGCGCATCTGCCCATGTTCCGGCGTGAAGTTCATTCTCATTTTGCACATTTCGAGAGTTCTTTGTGTGTGTGGGGGAAAGGGTGTGCAGTGTCTGGCGCCGAGTTTGGCGCACCAAACTCGGCGTCAGACTCTCTGACACCCTCTCTCTCTCTCTCTGTCTCTGAGTGAACCTCTCACGAGAATGAATCTTCCTTTTTATCGAGGAAGATTCTTCTCGTTGGGCATGTCTGATTTCTTTTTTTTTTTTTTTTTTTCGCTGAATGTTGTATGTTTTTTTGTGTTTTTTTACTTTTTTTATTTCCCCGTGATGTACTACCGGTTGTCCGAGGCTCGGCAAAAGAGTCCGAGGCTCGGGAATGATCGGGCTACTGGTAGTCCGAGCCTCGGGCTTGATAGCTGAGCGAGGTACTGGTGGTTTAATAATAGCATCTCTATTCGCATCCCTCGAAAAATTACCTTTGTTTGCTTCTCTGTTTCTGCCTATGCACAGGACATTTCCCACCACAACTTCTCGAAGTTCTCTTCTCCTCGTCTCCATGATATGGTTGTCTCCCCATTCTTCTCTTGTGGTGAGGGCAGACCCGTGCTGGTCATTCTTCTCGTAATGATTTTTTTAAAGTTCGTATTCACGGAGGAGGGGGACGAGGGCAGGATTATGATGATGATGATGACGATGATGATGAAAGGAGTAACCAGACTGTGTTTGTGTTATGATTGTGCCATTCTCCAGGTCGTTTATCGAGCAGGGAACATTCCCAGATGGTACTGAGTTTTCTTTGACCGGATTAGAAGTTCTAAGCAGGGTAAGTGTTACCAACTTACCACGTGTTCTGAGTCGACTGTCCACAGTCCCTGCGGTTTTCCTCGGAGGATCCAAGTCTTGACGAGGTCTTCTCCGGCCTTTAGAGAAGCTTCTGGTGTCTCATCTAATAACCTTCCAATTATTTGCCACTTGCAGTCTTGCACCTTATTTCCGTTTCCATCACATCACTAGCTGTTATGCGACGTGCCGTGGCCAATCGTCATTGAGCATCTCCTTGTCCGTATTGCTCATAGGCGGCTGCCTTCTTGATCATGTTAACGCAGAGTCGTGCTGTTTTGGATAATATAGTCGGCAGGAGGATGTGCAGGGAGGTAGGGAGAAGAAACATGTGAGGACAAGGAAGTGGAGGGAAGTGTCCACGAGTGTTTAATATTTCATGTACTTTGACTAGCTGGTGGAAAAGGAACCGGATTGATTCTCCCTAGAATAGAAAAGAGACGCAAGGATGGAGCGGAAGAAGCAAAAGAAACCTAAGTGTCCCCACCCTGTTGTATGTGTGTGTGTGTGTGTTTTGTGGGGCGGGGGGGGAGGTTGGAAAAGAAAAAAGCAAAGCAGCTTAAGCGAAGTGCTGCATGAGCAAAACTCGAATGCTGAAACATCTGGGGGTGAAATGAACAAAATTGCTGTCCTTCCAACTACCAGCTGTATAGACCAGTTCCCAGAAGTATATCGATTGTGTCGGGCGGAGAAGAAGAATATCCCAATTTGTTATGAAATGAAATGCGACTTCGACATCGTTGCCATTTTTATTGTTGTTTGTCGTAATTGCTGTGATTTACAGCTGATGCAGCTCCCGTCTCCCCATGCCAACTCAGAGAACTCACCCATTCTTGGCATGCCTGCGCTTAGTTCGCTTATGCATAGTGCGTACCTGGATGTATTCAACTGAATAATCAACTAGATCTATTCTATTGAATAACTGACGGGAACGAAAAGTTTATTGAACTTGTTTCATGAAATATCTTGCCGGTGATGAACAACCGGACTGATGCCCCCCAGAATAGAAGGGGGCTATGTTTTTCTCACAAAAAAAGGAAAAGAAAAAAATAAATATGAACTGGCCCATTCAATGGAATTACTAACTGGTCCATTTGATGGAATAACTAACTGGTGCGCTTGACAGAATAACTAACTGGTCCATTTGATGGAATAACTAACTGGTCCATTTGATGGAATAACTAACTGGCTCATTTGTCCAATTGATGGAATAACTAACTGGTTCATTTGTCCATTTGACGGAATAACTAACTGGTCTATTTGATGGGGCAAGACTGGTCCTGATGGAATGTGTAACTGGTCCATTTGCCGGAAGCCTCAAATGTGTGACTGATCTAATGCTGGAATAACTTCTGATGCATTTGATAAACTGAAAACTGGTCTGCTTTGATGGGACACATAGCTGGTCCATCAGATGGGACAAATAACTGGTTCATCTGATGGAAAATATAACTGGTTCATTGATTCTGTTGCATAATTTCAGATAGCTAATTGATGCATTTAATGGAATACTGACCTCGGAATGTCATGGAATAATTGACTGGACAAGCGTGTTGTGCAGTGTGCTGAGGACGATGTTTTTTTGTCCCCTTGTTGTTTCTTGGTTGGTTTTGCAGCTGAATAATATGAAGTATGGTGACCTAGATGATTCCTACAAAGAGGTAATGACAATTTGCTCCTCTGGACCTCCCTACTCTTTTTGTGTTTTCCTTCGCAACCTAGAAGCAGCGACTGCTTAGCTCAGTGAACTTCACCATTTTACTGTTTTCCTCCAATGAGAAGGCATCCCTTCAATCAAGTTGCAAAGGAAATTTTGATCAACTCTACTGTGTGTCTGGTGGTTCATCCCTCCCACTGATGGCATGATGGTGCTCTGTAATTGACAGGCGATCCAAGACTTTGCCTTGAACGTCCACACAATCTCCCGACATTCTGATGACGATGTTGTATTTGAGGTGAGTTGCCCTACTGTATTTCCCCAAACATAAGACATATAATATTCCAATGAAGCGAATAATACAATGCGTATGCGATGTATTTGAGTTTGCCTCAGGAGGGTGGTCTGCGTAGAGCAGGCCTGGTTTTCCCATATTGGCAGTGTTTTGTTGTGTGCACTACTAGTATGAACTGCGTTTGAAGGTGGAGCGCAAACAGTTGCAAGAAACCCAGGGACAAAATTGTCAGCCCTGCTTTCTCTAGTGCGAAGCGTCCTTGTCGTGCAGCCAAGCACAGTGGGATCAGGGCGCAAACCTGTCGTGACAGGTAGAAACATACACCCATGGGTGAGCACTCCATCAGGATGGGGGTCCCCCTTGCCAATAGACAGCCACCAATCCACAGTAAAAAAAGCAAAAAAAAGTGTTATTTATTTTTGAACGGAACACTATCTGAATAGAAAGCATACGTGCTCTATTCGAATCCAAACGCATATGCACTCTGCTCGAAGTGCCCTTCTATTTGAAAAATTCAAAAAATGGACCGACTTTCCAAAAACCAAATTTATGGGAAAAATTGAATAGAAGGTAGTCTTTTTTGGTTTTCATATCCTATACGTCCCATTGGTTTGCACTGCTTTGAACAAGCTGTCTGTTGCATAGCTAACCTGGACCGGACCCCGGACCCCGGACCCCGGACCTCCTGGGCCCATTCGGACTTCTGGAAAACCGGAACATTTCGGGATATCCGGACCGTTCCGGATCCCCTGTCCGGATTCATGTATTTTCCTGGGTGGGGAAACAACGTGTGCATGCTTACATTACCTGAGTGGACCAGTGGGCAGTGCGGTGTCACTTACTCACTTCAGCATGCACAATGCACACAAAATCATAGATGCACAACTCGGACTGTGCAGACTGCACAATGCACACACAGCAAATTGAACTTTGGAGTTTGAACTTTGAACAGAAATTACAAGAAGCAACAGACTGCACCTAAGAAATTGGTGCTTTTCAAGGGCATCTGCGAAGTGGAAGTTGTAAGTACATACCTTGGAAACATAGACGCTCAACAAACAACTTTTTTTAATGAAAGCCACGTTTTGATTTTTTGAACAATGTTAGAGCTGAATAAATAATATTGATAAAATCAAAGGATGTTAGAGCTGAATAAGTAATATTGAAATATCTTTCATTTGAGCTTCTAAACCGCAGCTGTCCCCTAAGTGATTGCAGAGTCATTCACGATTGGCTAATCATGGATCACCACCCCAAAATAGTCTCTCTCTCTCTCTGTTACATCTTCGACTCACACGGGTCCTACCGGACCCGACTTAGGGCCGGAGGGACACACCAGGGCCTAAAGGCCCGACCTTTGGGGTTACAGGCCCTAAAGGCCTGATTTTGGACTAATCCCATCGGGTAGGCCCAAACGACACGTCGTTTGGGCCTGGTGGCGCTCTTGAAGCTGCCGCCCGCCGATTGAGGCTGAACCGTCCATCTGGACGGTCCAGGGTCTGGCCTGGCCTCGCAGCATTGAGGCCAGACCATTGCCCACCGGTATAAGTACCGGTATCCGCCTCAGTTGAGGGATCGGCCTACCGGAACTCTACCGGCACGGCATGGTCAGTGCTAGTGCACTGTTTTGAGGCGCTAAACTTAGCGCAGGGGCTGAAGCAGGAGCGCAGCATAGCGCAGCAGCGAGCGGAGCAGCAGCAGGGCAACTGAGCCAGCACGGCGGCCATTGCCGCCTGAGGTACCGGGAGCTTGGAGGGTCTCTCCTCCTCTCCCTCGCCAGTCCCCTCTCTCTCTCTCTCTCCTCTTCCTCCTTCTTCTTCTTCTTCTTCTTCTTCTTCTTCTCCTTCTTCTTCAGATTTGAGACTATCCAGTTGGACAGAGATCAGAGTTGGATTTCGGTGATACGAGACTGTGGTACTTACCTGATTGGAGACTTGGAGATTGTTGAGGTTGATACTCGGCTRCATCACAGTTGGACACCGGTTACATCTGGACTCTGTTATCTCCGACATTGGTGACCTTTGGTCCTCGACATTTTGATCTTGTTATATGACATTCTGGACTACCATTTCGGAGACCTA